TTCCGCGCGTGAAAATCAAAATTTTTTCGATTTTTAGTTTTTTATTACTAGGGATAGTTTGAGTTGTCCTCTATCATTTTGCAAAAAAAGAATTTTTCTATGTCCTTGTTTAGACCTATAAAAATCGATTTTTGTGGCACCTCTATATGATAAAATGTGATTTTTTTGATTTTTTTTCAGTATATTTCTCATCTATGGCTTTTGTAAATCCATCTATCGGATTTCACACTTTTAGTCCATTTAAATCTACATTTTAAGTTGTGGAAGACACTGTTCGAAATACTGGATTGGATGTGATCGACATGACTAATCGAAAAATTCGAGATATTATATATTGACAGACTATCAACCCATTTAACTTCTATGCAAAGAATTAGCTCTGGTTAATTCTCATGAATGCGGTGCTTTCGGAATATTCCTCTAAGATTTGACATGTGGGACGCTTGCTATTTATCATCAGAATTAAACAAAGAGGATGAGACTTTTCAAAAGAAATGTTTTTTTTTTCAATAATATCAGATTATCATCAAAAAACTGCGAAAACAGATGTTAGCGAACATTTTTTGTCCATTTAGCAACCTATTCTAAGGAAACCTTGTATCCAGAATTAAGAGGATTGAATAGTTCAAGCTATTGCGAGAATCGAAGTCGAACCAGTTGTAGAATTACAGGTGGTAATAGATACTCTTTCTTTTTCGAGAACTTGCTCAACAATGCGTTTCTTGCGTTGATGAGTAGAATTCATTTTTAGTCATCGGTGATTAGTATTGAAGTTTGTGCAGTCAAATGATCATTGAATTGTTCATCGAATAAAAGATAAGAAATATGATGAGGTATTTTTTTATTTTCATCTGCGTAGCAAGGTTTCAACAATTCTTTTTATTGCTTCAATTTAACATTGATGCAATGAAAGTCCATCACTACTAAATAATTAAATCATTTTTAGATGATTAGAAAATATATTATAGAAAGAACCAATAAAAGGCGTAGTAAAATTCGACAATTCAAGAGTGAGTCGAATTTGAACCAGATGCCATCATCGACACAGCACTCTAAAGTCACAACAAGAACAACAACGATGAACAAGAAACTTGCAATGACTACAAAATGTCTTCGAAATCAATCATTTGATAACTTCTTTTCATCGTGCGATGATGGTAACTCTTCAGAATCTGATGAACAAGATGAAGGAAAACAAGAGATTACAGATGTTTCAGAATCAGAACAAAACTTCGATAACGTTAATTTAATTGTTGGAATGCAGTTTCTGCTCTCCATCCTGTTATCGAACAGGTAAAACTTCTAGTCACATTATTTAACGATGTGGTCTTTTATACAACATCTTATTTTCGTATGAGCGCTCATATGAAACTTCAATTTGTAATTCATCTCCTCTCAGTAATCCTGTATCGTGTCAAATGGACGGGCTAAATATGCTTACGTGCATTGCAGCAAATGTTGAGGGTATAAAATGTCATGGTATGACGCAAATACTTGGTTGTTTGAACATATTACCTCGAGTTCGGATTGAAAGTTGCAATAAATATCAATCAATTTATGCTAAATCTATTGAGACTGTTGCTGAGAAAAGTCTTGAGGTTGCAGATAAGATTTTGTCACCTAAAATCTCAATTGAATTCTGTTTTATTAAATAGCAATAGAAGCTGCTGATCAGGCTGAAGAACCATGTGATCACGAAGGTGTTATCAATGTAACTGTTAGCATTGACGGAACTTGGCTTAGTCCTCAAGATCATTCGAGCATACACGGCGTGGCAACATGCTACTCCATCAAAAGTACTTGATTATGAAGTTCTCAGTCGACATTGTTCAACGTGTTTTTGTTTTGAAAAATACTGTATCGTTGATTTTTGATAGATTTAAAAAAACAAAGCTCTACCTAAAAAAAACACGCATTTTTGGAGGTGTTCTTAGTATTTTGGCCTTTTTATTTGAAAAGAAAGAGATAGAAAGAAATCAAAAAAATAAGTAGTCCTCCCAAAGTGTCTCTAGTATTTGTAAAAAAAGTTTCGGCTCAAATAAACACATCCTCTCAGACAAAAGCGGGCGATTATGGCTGTTTTTATTGACTTTTAATTGTTAAAGGTTCTCTTGTTGATCAAGATTTTATCATTATTGAATGTAAAACTCCCATAATATTCATGAGAAAAATATCTATTTGGCTACAATAATTCATTTTCCTTTGTTCTTGCTTAGTAACTCAATTAAATATATTTCGGTTTTATAAATCATCGTCATTCGAAACATCGAGTTAAGAGAAGATTGATCAAATTTTTCATTATTTAGATGATCATCGAATAAAAAATTATCGAAGATGAATTCCATCTCTGACTTAAAATTCGTCATGACGCTTCGTATTTTTTACTTAACTTAAACTAATAAATAGCTAATATGTTTGAATAATTAATATGAGAATATGTTATTGATCGATTGTCATCAACTAAAAATATTTATTTGTGATATCAGAATGATGAAAATTTGAATTAAATAACAACAAATGAAATGTCATCTTGTACAAAAAAACAACGCTCAATTGTCCATCAATTAATTTTGAGAAGATGTTGTTGATTATTTTCTTATGGTGAAATATCGGGTGAAGATCTACTCGAAGAAGTCCTTGAATGGCGAACAGAGATAGTTGAGAACACGACAAAAAACTCGTGACCATCCAAAAGAGGTCCAAGAATCCACTTCTCACGAATATCTTTGAGAATTACCAAGATTTCGTTGTGATTAACAAAAAAGTCTGTTTTGATGAGTGAAACAGGTTGCTGATTGTTATTGATAGTGAGAAGAGATTGAGTATTGAAAATGGAACCGATGAGTTGAGCATGTGAAAGATAAGGAATGTTCCATATTCTAATGAGATCTTTCGCATGATCAGCAATAAATTTCAAGTTGATCGGGATGCGATTGCAAGCATTGAAGAGGGGAATCACAGCATAAGGATGTGAAGAGACGAGTCCAATGGCAACAACATTTTCGATGGTATTCTTAGCCATGGAAAGCAGAGTTCCAGCTACACCTTGACCTCGGTATGGAGAGCTAACAACCAATTGGGTAATCTAAACAACATTGCCATTTAATCGATCGTATTTAGCCGATGTACAGAAGGCTTGTCCAATAAGTTCAAATTGATCATTATCAAATGAACGTTTCTCTGCAATGACAAGACAACAACGGTCATTGAACAGCATTAGCTCACGAAGACGCTTGACTCCAAGTCTAACACGAGTACCGGCTTGTAATGTGTTGTTGCTGTAGAGAGGAGCATCGTCACTCCAGATACCATAGTTGTTATTAAACAATGTTGAGCATTTTTCAAGGATCCGATCCTTCAGAAATGAATATTGAATACATGTGTAAGAGATCGGACTAACAGATGCCATTTATATATCTGAAATAAAGACACAACAAGCAAATTTCTTTGTTTCTTGCGATCATTCAAATACTTCAGTGTCCAAAGAAATAAAAAATGTAGCTCGTGTTGAGTGTGAATCATTCAACTAATCAATTATTCGCTGTCCTTCTCTGTTTACTTGTATGAACTTTTCTTTTTTTCGACTGGACCAGTTACAACGAATGGATCTGTTGTTTTCAACCAGTCACATAACTGAGTCTCACGAGTACACTTGACAACGATTATCTAAATAATTATATATTTCTGTAAAACTAATCTTGTTCTTTTATAGTCAATGATCATTTTTAAGTTAGAACATGAATGAAAATAAGTTCATATTTTACTGTGTGCTGACAGCTATCATCAATAATAGTCGCGAGTTATCGATCAATCGATATTCGTCTATTCTAAACATCATTTCTTCTTTGCAACAATCGCATATTTGTTTTACATTGCTAATCATACTTTATGTTTAGTATAATACATTGCTTCTGAATGATATCATTAACTTTTCATTTTCTACATGAAAATAGAACATAGTGTGGTCATATGACTGCTTATAAAAATCTTCAATTTGTTTCTCTTTTACAAGACAATTTCAGATATATGCTTTGTTTTATGAATCATCTAATAGGACAAGTGTTAGACAGTACTGAAATTAGTAAAAAATCCTTCTCATAGATCGGCTCGATATCTGGAGTGTTGAAATTCGGTTCCTCTTATCATTTCGCGTATTAATGAGTAAGAAATGTTTTACCTGAATTTGATCTACATAAACTTAATTAATCGATCTGGAAATAATCGGTTCATGAACTTTTGTATAGGGAATGCGGATATATTATCGAGACGTCTTTTGCTCGTGTGGGTGTGTTGTGAAGATAGTATCATTTATTCACCCACACTCTCCTTTTACACTCACAACTAAAACAATCCCAATTCGATTCTTTTAGTTTCCTTTTTTTTGCTTTCAAATAAAATCTTATAAAAGATCTCGATTTCTTTCAAGACTCATTTATGAATCAGCACGACATCGTCTAGAATAATTCTATACACACTGAAAAATCTCTAGTATACGAACAGATATGACCGAACATCATCGATTTTTATTTGCATATTACATTTTCAAGATTTCAACTACACAAAATCATTTCAAGGTCATCAAATGAAAAGCAAACAACCAACAACCAGGATTCTAATACTGCTCATTCACACACAGCAAGGACCAGACATTTTGGCAATTATTATAGTTTGAACTTATTGCAATATTACATAGTATGGCAATTTCTATCTCGATCTCACAAACCTATCTAAAGATCAAAATTCATAAGATGACCATGATGAAAATGGCTATGATACACTAAACCAAAAACCTGATATAAATAATAACTACACCAAAGAACGTAAATGGACAAGGACATAGGGTTCATCAGTTGTATAAGCCATTCGATGTGATTGTCGACAAAGAGGAGGATAGTCTCATCATCTCCGATTGGGGAAATACAAGAGTAGTGCGATGGTCTCGTCGAAATGGAACCAGTGGAGAAATAATCATCTCGAACATCGATTGTTTCGGTTTGACAATGCACGAGAATGGATCTCTCTGTGTCACTGACACGGAAAAGCATGAAGTGAGACGACATCAAAGAGAAGAATCTCAAGGAACAGTGGTTGCAGGTGGCAATGGAAAAGGAGATCGTACCGATCAACTTTCTTCCACACAATACGTATTTGTCGATCGAGACTATTCAGTGTACGTGTCTGATTTTGATAATCATCGTGTGATAAAATGGGTGGAATGTACAAAACAAGGCATTGTCGTGGCTGGTGGCCAAGGAAACAAAAATGGTCTTACACAATTGTCGTATCCTCAAGGAGTCGTTGTTGATCAGTTGGATACTGTCTATGTGGCTGATGCAGAAAATGATCGAATCATGCGTTGGGTCAAAGGAGCCACAGAAGGAAATGCCATTGTTGGTGGAAACAGTCGAGGAGAAGAATCGAATCAATTAAATTATCCCTTCGGTTTATCATTCGATCGACACGGTAATCTCTATGTCGTCGAAAAGGGAAATCATCATGTACAAAAATTTAATATTGAACAGACAACAAAATAATAATGTTTATTTGTGTGATGGAATAAATGATTTGTATTGAATAAAAAGATATTATTTATTCCCGATCAATCAATAAATATATTGGATATTCGTATACTCGCGACCAGAAAATCGTCTCTGGTTGTAAAAGCGGCTGGCCGCTTGGCTATGCACGAACAGGACAAGTCCACATGTATATTGCATAAATGAATGAATATGGTGTGAACTCGAAGGGTGAGTGTGGATGTGGATGTGGGTGAGTGTGGGCGTGGTGGTGTGGGGGTGTTGGCTGACGTGAAAAGCTTTCATCTACACCCATACACCCACACTCACACCCCACTCGTACCCACACCTACGCCCACACCCATACCTATACATCACCCACACGCATACGCACACCCCACACCCTCAAGTAGCACCATTCGATCCAGAACTGAATTCTGCATCAAGCACAACTCACTAGAACACCAGCATAGATAAGAAAACGGATTCGGACAAGAAATATCGCATCTAGTGCTAATTTCACCGACCTGTTTTGACTGACCGCTTAGGTCATAGTCGAAAAATATTTATTTCGTAGGCGGACTAAACAGCAAAAGAGAAAGGTGGACAATGATTTACCGAAGTAACACTCGTAGACGTAAAATCAAGGTCGCGTAATAGTTGTAAATATTTCATTGATGAGCAAAGTTTTTTGTGACTATCTTTCCAATGTTGTGTTTGACATATTTTATTACAATATAATGCTACTTGGCATCTTGCACACTTCTTGAATGAGAAACTCGCCGACGTCAGTTGCGAATCTTGATCGACATATGAAGATAGATCAGCTGAAACAGGATTTTCCTTCTTCTCCAAAGATGAGTTTTGAGTTGAACTTGATGATTTTGCTTCACATTGAAAGCAAGCTGGAGAAGCCATCATGGATTCGAAAGTTTTAATGAGTGTTTGCATAGAACATTTGAAAATAACTACAAGATCTCCATACTCTTGTCGAACACCAGTACTCCCGTCGAGAAAATCATGCTTTTCAGCATCCATTATCAAAATCGTATGACCGATTACTGCGTCATTAAATGAGAAAGTGGGTGTAGTATGGTCCTCCTCGAGATAAAAATGAATTGTAACCTTCTCATCGTATCGGGTACGAATCGTTAACTTAGGACGAATGAAATAGTTAACTTCTTCGATTTCCCCCATCAAACACCAATGACGAATTTGTTTAATACTGCCCTTAATCAATCGCCAGTAAGGTTTACATGGCTCATCCTCGTGACATACAGAATTAAACGATGGACAGTCAACGTGATTATCCAACTTGTTGATATTAGGACAATAATCATACGCGGGTTGTCGATCATTAGATTTGACAATAGCTTCTTTGTCACCGAAACCACAGGAGCAAGGTTTTATTGGGACGTCTGTCGCCCACTTGATCATCTTAATTCAAGTTATAATCAATTGAAGAAGATGAATAGTTATGAAATCGTTTAATCTAAAAGGAAAAATAGTTAGAGTTTAAATATAATCAAAATCTGTATACATCGTCATGTCTGACTGATCTCCTTAAAAAAACTTAAGTTCGTTTTCATGATCGAACCGGCCTGAAATTTCAATAACAATGAAAACCTATAAGAATGATTCAACGAATGTCATATAAACTTATTCCATTTCACAAAACACTATTTATTGTAATGGCAAAAAAAGATAAAGAAAGAATCTAAGATAATGTTTTATCCAAGGGGTAAGTGCTGCACCTATGGACCGGCTTTCTCTATGAAGTGCTGGAAAGGTACCATGAGTACTACAGATACTGGAAAGTTGTAATAGGTGCTACGAGTTCTGGAAAACTGCGATGGGTGCTGTAGAAACGGAAAAGGTACAATGGATGTTGCACTTGCTGAGGGTTCCAAATC